GTGTGGCTAATTGCAATACTCCGTGCATCCTTTTTGGGAGTATGATCAGCGGGGTGTCATTCACAACAGCGTTCCTAATCCAAACACATTTTTGGAAAACCATATTTGCTTAATTTTGCTTTTTAAATAAAAATATATAGAGAGTGAAAAATTACTCGAGCTACTTTTTCAATATTTCCCGACGTTAATGAGCTGACTGGGAAGTGAACAGATGCATTAAGCCAATAATTTATTCAAATGTCATGATATTTTTGAACAAACACATTATTTAACATGCATTTCATTATTTGCCCAGCTCTTATTAGTATTAATGATTGATGTGTTCATCAGCAAAAGGGAAAAGTGGCATCAAATATAATCTGTGCAAACTAGATTCACTTTGGAGACCTACCCTAAGTTTTCATCAGAACGAGAACCGTTTTCGATGCTCATTCTGTATGGATTGGGTAAAAACAAAGCTGGAAGGTGCAGAAATTTATACGGGGTCAAGGCAGCTTGGGCTAATCTAACGCAGCGTGGACCGAGTGCAGGGGAGAGTGGTGTTTTATTGCATGACTGTCTCGCTCACGCACATCGGAGCCAAAGGGATTCAGAGGTAAAGTTAGAGCCCAAGTGTATCGGATCTGAATGCATCATTGTTGTGCATCTGAACTCTTTAATCAAAAATCCCCTGGTGATATAAAAATGTTCTGGACACAAATCACGAAGCCTACCTTGCCAAACTTTTTAACAAAGCAAAACGTCTGTTTTTCCCCTAGCATCTCTCTTTCCCTTCCAAAAATTCATCCAAGTGATTTAAGACTCCAGTAAAACACTTTGGTAATCTCCAGAAAAATAGCTACCAGCAATCTTTCTTCCTCAGCCACTCTGAGGACATATCCCGTAGAGAGAAACTCCTTTCACGTCTCCAGCGTCCGTGTGCCACAACATCTCCCTGTTTAAACCCACGCCATTAGTCTGAACTGCGTACGGAAACCTTAAAAGCATTTCCAGTCGAGCCCTAACGCAATTAGCGGCATTTTGTTGTAACATCTGCACGTAAACAGGGCCTGCTTCTGGCACCTGAGGAGAGAGGCAATCGCCGGAGCTGTCCAGAATTGGTGCGAGGAGCCCTCGCGTCAGCCGGGCGATTCATCCGAACCCAACGCCTGCTGTCCACGAGGCAGCAGATTCTCGGGTCCTAATGAGCACATTCATCTCGTTACAGCCCGAGTAGCCAGCCTGCGACACGAGCGATGTAATGGGACGTGGTGGTTGAAATTAAAAGGGAACACGCCTTTTAATTGTGTTGGATACCTGCTAGCCATTCGGACAATGGGAATTTGATTCAGATTTATGGTATTAAATGGCAGCAGATGGACAGTAAAACGTCCATCGAGTTTGCAAACTGACAAGCACGCTGGTTTGCCAGATCCCTTCATTAAGGCACGGGTGGCATCAGGCAGGTGCTGATGCATTTCGTCGTTAGCAGCGCTCGTGCATTTTGCTTTGGTGTGGGTGAGCAGTGAGATACGCTGACTGATGTTCTCAGCAGGTTAATTTGGGACTTCCTCGCCTCTTCAAACCATGGAAAAACCTTCCTCTGGTTCAGGGAAGGAATTTTACGAGCCTTCTGGTTTCGGTATCCAGTAAGCAAAAAGGCCAGCTGATAACAGCTGGAGCACGCTGCACACTCCTCCTTCTGACTACCACCACCCATCCCTTTCACGGCTTGGGATTTGCTGCTTATCTCAGGGCCTGCTCCAGATTTTTGGGTCACCATCTGCGGCCTTCTCCCCTTTTGCATACTTTACAACATCCTCCGAGGGAGGATATTTTCCTTTCTCCCCCTTCCCTGTATAGTTCCTCAAAGAAGTTTGCAACCGTGCCCCACGCTTACACTATTTCCTCTGCAGACTCAGCGTCTCATCTGCATTCATTCATCAGCACTCATTTATATCCTACCACAGCAATCACAGCCGTGGAGATGCTTGTCATCCTTTTCCCCTTCCACCTTCAAGCCTTAGCAAGAAACCTTATTAACTGGCACCTGCAGGCGTGCACACCCAGACACGAGCAAAAGAAAGCCACGCGCACGCATCCTATGGAAACCCACATCAGAGTGAGCAACTTGGTCAACTCTTCATTATGTTTCCTTCCTCTGCTGCTCTGTAAAACCAAAAGGGACCTGCATGCAAACCAGGTAGGACACCTGCTCTGCGCTGACCTTTCTCAACACCTAATTAATGCAAGGTAAATCTCCAGGAGCAATGGGTTTTCCGTTCAGAGCCCCATGTGTTTCAGAGCTTATTATCGAAAAGGAGTCTAAAGGAAGATGTAACAGCTAAGCTTTTCTTTCTTTTTTTCTTTTTTTTTTCGTCAGGGGTATTACTCGAATGAAGTTGCTTTAAGCAATTTTCAAAATTTTTGTGAACGATCATCATTTAACAAATTAAATCTTGCAGGTGCCTAAGAAAGAGACGAGAGCAACACTTCTGGCCATTACTCACTGACAGAGCAGGGAGATTGTTAAATATTTCTTCTTCGCTGTTAGGCTGCGTAATTAAGCTTGAAATCAAGAGAACTTTCTCTGACGATCCTCAGCAATAATTTGGGGGAATGAGAGCTTCTGTTTACTCCCAGTTTTCAGCATGTGTTTGGATATTCATATCCATACTAATCACATGTTGTTATATATTAATTAACCAAAAAATTATTCAGGCAAGAGTACTAAGCCTGCGTGCAGTTTATTGTCTTGAAATATACTTTGAAAACATAAGGAGCAGAGGACTAAAGAAATGCCTGTGACTCCCTACAGCCCCATTTGATTGCTCACCTGCACCCTTGCCACACCAATGGGATAGAAGAGCATAAAGCACACCCTGCCCGGGTCTTCATCCCTGCAATGGGAGCACCTCTTGCTGTGTGGGGAAGCAGGGAGGGCAAAGCCAGATGCTGCCTGGGCAGATGGTCTGCACTAAGGGCTCCTTTCCCAAGCCTGCTCGGCGGGCACCAAGCTGGGTGCCACAAATCCCCATCCCCTACAGGGGAACGGACCCCTCACCGTTTATGTTTTCGTGCTGCTAAACAGTAATTTGCTTTCCCTCGTTGATTTACGCCTTTCTGTTTGTTTGTAGGAATGAAACTTGATTGCGCTGTAAGCACAAACATTTATCACCTTTTTTTCCTGGTGGTAAGGCACTGCACAGCAGGGCCAAGGTCAAAGATAAAATACTGGCTGACAACCTCGCAGCCACTTCTTCTCTGAGATCTTAGTCAAATCAAGTAAATTATTCTTTATTGTATCTGTGAACAGAGCCTATAACCTCTACGAATTCAGTCCTTGTGCTAGGTTTGGCCATTTGGTCACAATAAATTTGTTTTCTGACCCATTGATTCAATAAACTTAATTTCAAAATTAATCTTTTCAGGCTTCAAACTCACTGGATCCAATTACGAATCCAATAGTTCCCTTTAAATTTAATACTCTGAAACTTGGTGGTCTGATGCTTTTTGCCCTGATGTGCCTCTTTGGTGCTTAACTTTATATTATTTGGCCTATAAACCTAAATCTCTTAGGGAGAGAGCGTCAGAACGGCTCCCGGTCTTAAATCTGTTCAATTACAAACATTGGTATGAAATGCTCCCTCTCCTGCAACTCTTCCTTTTAATTGGTATTATTATGCACAACAGGTTATCATCGTGCACTGGTTCAGGATCTGTATTTGACTACGCACACCACACCAAGCAGAAACAAGAAGTTAGGTTTGGATTACTTTTGTTGAGGGGGGGAGGGAGGGAGGCGGTACTCAGAAGTTTCTTCTAAATCAGATACAGTCTAAACAATTCACTCTCTGCCTAAAGGGGTAAGAAAAATCAATTTTTTCTTCATTTATTTCTAGTAATTTAGATAAAATTACGGTCTGTGGGGAGAGCCATTATAATTGCAAAATATATATATTTCCGTTCTTGGGAGGCTCGGTTGCTAACACGGCTAATTTTAAATGGTCATGACTGCAGGATACTCGGGGCAAAATTTGCATTTCTTACGAGAAAAGCAACTTCCAATCACTCAAATCTTTCTCCTTAGAAGCTCCCAGCCTGGGCCACGAAGCCCCCCATCCGCCCTGACCACGCACCCAGACGGTGCCTGGAGCTCGAGTGGCACGGAGGGAGGGATGCACAGCTCCCAGCTGGGAATCTCTGGGGGTGCACACTTGCCCTGCCTATGGGAGAGGATTTCGTTATTAAGGTGGCGACAAAAATCCCAATTCTGAGCCCAGCGACTGGCACTCAGGGCTGTGGAATTTGCAGCGTTACTTAGTGGCGTTTCAAGACATCAGAAATGACTTAATTTTTACTGTTTAAACAGCCCCATTGTTTTAAGCAAGTGCTTATTGCAGCACTTCTCATCTGAGGGAGAAAGGGAAGACCGCTCAGCCTGATCCATTAGGAAATTCAAGCCTTAAACCAAGTGACCACAAAGTCCTATCAGCTCCCTGAAACGCAGCAGCTGTCCATATTTAATGTAACACAAGCCTATATTGTTGCAGAGGTCCGCTGTTTAAAACACACATAAGGCAGGTGAAACGTGACTGTTGTACTCCTCTGTTTGAAAAATGAGAAAGTGTGGAGCAGGGGAACTCCTCAAACACATAAATAAGCATTAGGCTCGTGGAGAAGACAGGTAGGCTGCTGCACCAGTACTCACACATTAAAGGTCAGGGGGTAAACCCGAAACTATCCCAACCTTGCTCCTGCGATCCTGTTCCTCAGCACGCTGCTCTGTTACCAACAGGTGAAGTGCAAAATCAGAAGCACGAGGGGCTGCTGAGCTCTCCCATACCTGTCCTAATTTAAGGACAGCATTTCCTACATATTCTGCCCACTGATCATTTCATGCCACGAATACACGTGCAACGGGCAGCTCCAGGTTTCCCCAGCTGGGTTGGATTCTGTGCAATTACCGATCCCACAGGTGCAAAGAGGGAGAAAATCTGACTCACTGCCTTATTTTGAAGCAGAGCCAATGAAGCAACCAACATGATACTGACTTTATGTTATCTTGTCGTGTTTTGTCAAGCCCTCTCGTATGACATTTTCTTAATTTGCGACCTCTTTAGTGAAGGATAGGGCATTTCACTGGGATATAATTTATATGAAAAGATTAGGAACATCTATTTTTATTTAGCTACATACTAAATAATAAATGGTACAGAGTTTTCTGGGTGAAAAGATGAGGAAAATATCCAGAACTGGTTAGCTTCCAGCAGTTAATAGAGGTATAGAAAAGGGAACCGGGGGAAATAAGATGATCTGAGTCATCCTTTCTCATAATACAAGGGCAAGGAGACATCCAACAAAGCACATGGGTAATAAATCCTAAGTTAGGTAAAAGGGAACTTTTTCAAATTACCTGACTGATTAAATTCATGGCCATAAACTGTTACTGAATCATACTACTTCAACATTGAAGTATGCCTATGCATTATGTTAACATTTATTTTTAATTAGCAGGGGATCTAAACCTTCCATACCAGGATCTAAGCTATAGATTAAGGAGCATCCACCATCAGCTGGTATTAAACCTTTCTCAAGGTTTACTAAGAGTGCAAGCGTGCACATACACACACAGTACATGGGAACTCGTTCTGCAGTGAGGAGCATCCTAGGAGCCTGTACTTCCCTCCTCTACACTTCCAGACAGAAGATGTAAACACCACTCCTGGCAGAGGCCTCCACGTGACTCTGACTTGCCTGTCTGCTCCAGTAGACATTATGAGCTTGATTCTCCAAGACTGCCACCGAAATTCCACTCTACTGATCTTTGCAACCTAATTCTTCAGGCACTTTTTTTTTTTTTTTGGCAGGAGGATGTGACCCAAATTTATGAAGGAGGGTAATTTGCTCTAACAGTGCATCTTGAATCTAGGATCTCCGTGTGTTTATTTGTTATCAGCACATATTTAAAATACCAGACTTGGAGACCTGAATTTTGTTGCAACTTGAAAGGCCTTGAATGTTTTGTAGCATGAGGGAAAACAGTTATCAATCAGAAAACCAAGATGTAAAAGGTTTTATGAAGAAAAAATATTTCTGAGACAACAAAAGCTGTCCAAAGACTCCTCTTGCACTAGTAAATACCAGAAGGACACAGCTACTTTTTCAACAACCAAAAAAAAAAATGCTGGAGCGCTCCTTCATTATTTTTCTTTACATGACATATCGCACATACTGCTGCAGAAAAACAGCTGCTGAAGTGGCCTAGAGGGCATTTTCAGGCACTGTACTTCAGCGATTACAGCAATTTTGTAGGCATTCGATATTAGGATTACATTCTAATTTTAGACAAAGTTAAATTTAAATGGAGTAGGAGGGGTTTTCGTGCTACTTTGGATGTTCTAACATCACTTACCCCAAACCAAAAACTGTGTAAGGTCTGAATTTTGCAGCTATGATCATGTATTAGCTGCAGTACACTTTAAAAGAACGCAACTACAGCTCACTAGTCTCAGTGGGAAGATGTCCACTGTCACGACGGGATCCAGACTTAGGCCTTAAAAGCATTTACCTGCTGGCCACGATCCCACTGCCATGGAAATTTGTGACACAACTTCCACTACCTGGTAAAGCTGACACAGTCACACGCAGCCACCCCCTGCTCTACTGCACGGTGCCTCCTCTTAGTGGGGTGTGTGCAGCAAGCATCCTGAGGCCAAATCGGGACTCCTAGGTTTTTATTATTATCTAAACTCAACTGCCTCTCACAAAGCCCAAGCATCAAGCCTGAAGGAAACTGAAAGAAACAAGGTTAGTAAAGGGCTGACAGTGCAAGAGACAATACGGATGGAAAGTGGAGGGACTGGGTGAAACAGAGAAAACAAAAGAAAAGAGCTTCTATTAGATGCTAAATGAGACGCGGGCTGGGCCCAATTAAAGCTATGTCTATGCAGGTTACATCTTTCCTTATTTCTCTTACCTTGTTTCTCTTGAAATATGCTCTTCGGCAAGCTGCAAAGCACTTCTCGCTGCAGAAGCATTTCACTTCACTTCCCATACTCAGGGAATAGCGCTTGATTCCAACTTTCTGGCACCAGGCACACATTATTTGTACATTTGACACATCATCTTCTACAACAAAAATATAAGAACAATGTTTACATGAGATGCAAACACCTTCCTCAGACATCTGCACACTTACTCTTAGATACAACCGGCGCCGGCTCATCTTATTTCTAACCTCTCAGTGTTTGGGAGTGGAAATGTGCCTGCCTGCGACTTCCAGCTCCTTCCACAGGTGACCTGTGCCAGGCAGGCTTAGCAGCCTGGCAGAGCTTCTAGGAGGGCTGGAAAAGATTATTAGCTTCAAAACGGTGCATTGCTGAAAAGCTCGGGAAGTCTCGAGAGCTTTTCAGCATGTGTAAGAGTGCACAAGTCTTTATTGAATAAGCAACCGGGAACAGAGGCTTAGTAAATCCTGCTGCTCTGCTCTCATTGCTTACAGCCCTCTGGATATTCTGCTCAGCAAGCTGGTGACCAAACACGCCTGGACAGCACTGCACCAAAGCAGGTCTCTAACAAGAGCCCTCTGTTAAATGAGAAGGCAAATGAAGCGCCCCACTCCAGCGCTGTTTCGCAACAATGACAAGTGTGTAAAACGGGAGCTTTCACTGGAACACAGCAGCCACCAAAACCCGGACTTGAGCAAGAAGGGAGACGCAGCACTGCCAGGCTACTTCCCTGTCTTCAGTGCTCATCAACCCAATTTTAATTCAGCCCCCCCCCAGCAAGCTCTTCTCAAATGTGCGTTATGAATGGGACGTGTACGCCTCCTGAGATGCACAGCTGGACTTGTTACTGAAGTCCCAGCGACATCCTTGGGCAGTCATCATTCTCAGCCAGCTTCGCAGACAGGGGCAGGGAATAGTTAAGCCTCCTGGGCAGACGACTGCAGTGAGTTAGCAGGAATCGTTCTGACTCAAAACCCCAAACTCTTCGGTCCCGATGTCCACTCTATTGTACAGCACGACCTTTTGGTTACAGGCAGCAGCCATTGTCTAACTGCTGGGAAAAAAAAAGTCCCCGAAGACTAATTGTTAAAGCAGTTCTTAGTCCATGAGCTGTGGAGAATTCATGGCTCAGAGAGTCTGTCATGCAGCCATCCCATTTCCCTATAAAGGATTTGTTTTCGAAGCTACACTGTCATCGTTCTGTAAAATTATTGGCAAACTAATTTTTAGCAGAGTGATTTGGCTCCTTTCCCCAGCTGTCATAACTCAGGGCTACGTGCCGCATTTTATTCACCTTAACGGAATAAATATTGCCCGTTTAATAACTTTTTTCCTTCCACAAATTGTGTTATGATTTACAGCCACAAATAAAATTGTACAATGTTAAAAAAAAAATAATGACCTTTTAGTTTTAATCAGACCGTCTACCCTTAGAGCCATATTTAAGGCTAGGTTGTAGCACAGGTTTGTGCTTAACGCATTTCATCATTTACTCTTTAGTGGGATTTATCAATATTATAAACGCTTTAATACACCGAATATCAAGGGAAATCAAACCAATTTGGCCAGAACTTGGGGAGGAGCAGTCTGGGGGGACCCAGCCCAGCAGCTCTTACCATTTTCATCCCGAGCCGTTTGTAGTACCAAGCATTTACAAAGTTGTCCCAATTTAGCTGGTTTTGCACCATAACCATGCAATTCTTTACACACCAAGCTTGCCCCTTTGAATGTACCGGGACAAGAGGAGAGCCTGCGAGCCGAAGGGGAAGAGCTGGCTGCCTCCCAGTTCAGGGAACAGCAACCTGTATTTCCTACTGACAGGAAGGATTTTGTCTCAGGAAAATAGAAGATCTAGTAGTGATACCTTTCTAACAGCCTTCATTACCGGTGAGAATAGCTGTCATTAATGAAAAAGGAAAATTACAGAGCTGAAAGAGAGTTCACCAGCAAAGCAGGTGCCGGAGCACCTCTTTTCGAAGCAGGTTGGCTTGGCTTGGGCGGAGTTTTAAGGAGAAGCAGAGCTCTGCCACTGGGATTTCTCAGGAAATTTTCATGCGTGACTGAAGAGGGGAAAACCCTCAGCCACCACTCAGCTCCTGCCCACGGTCACGGATTAACTCTGCCTCCCATGGACCATCAGCAAGACCACACAACCATCCCGTTCCAGTCGCACAGCATCCCAGCAGCGACTGCACACACGGAGAAGCCACGTCACACGCTTCTCTGCATGCTGTTTTGCAGGCTGGTAGGGCTCATCCACCTCCTTCTGCCCAAGGCTTCCTTTCAGACAGACCCCAGCACGGAGAGGAGAGGGGAGGGATGATGCCTTGCTCAGCATCGCTTAACTTGTGGTCCGTGGGCGGACACACAAGTCAATAAACCAGCAGAAAATGGTCCACAAATTACCACCAGCCACTGTCTGCACCTCCAGGAAGAGAGAGCTGATATCCAGAAGGCATCGTCGATATTAATCAAAATCATTTTGAAAGGAGGAAGGGCAGAAGGGAGGGAGTCTGCCTAAATATGAAGAACTTCAGTTATTTCTCTCTTCCACTCCCTTCTCCCCGAGTCATGAAAAAATAGTCACACGCAATATTGTCCCTTTAACAGTAACAGTAATAATAAAAGTAGATGCCTCTTCCATTTATAAGGCTCAGGAACGCCGCTACAAGAGAATTACCTGCACGCTGGGGGGTCCCGGCACTGCCTTCCCTGGAAGGGCACGCTGATACATCACATCTAAGTCACATCTGCCCTCTCAGGTGTGGGTTTGGCCAACTTAATTTTTGATGCAACCGCATCTCCTCATAATGCAATTCAGAATTCAGCAGGTGAAAAAGGAGAATATCCAATATCTAATTCCCTACAGATCCGTGCAGCCCTGGGAGAAGGAGACTTTGCTCTAAAACCAACTCCTCTCTTTTAGCTTTAAGAGAAGCTACCTAGGGATAGGTGCAGAGCCAGGCACCATGGCTTGGGCAGCAGGGTATGTGGATGACAGCTGGGGACAATAAAGGTCCAGACCCGATAGTGTGCTTTCCTTCTTGACAATATTTACATATATCTGAGCAGAAGCTGTGCAAATACTTGCAGGATGTTTCAAAACAATGTATTAAGCCCAGCAACATTAACAGAAAATTAATAGCCCATGTATTTCTATCACTACAATCCGCAGCAGTGGGGAGCAATAACTTTCAAAAAATCCATTAAGATTGTGCGAAATAAGGAAAGCCAAAGGGTGGTGCGTTAATTGCAGTCTTCCTAAACACAAACTGGAATAATCCGAAAGCAGTAATGCAAAATTTCCATTCAAGATAAGATTCCTCTCACTTTTTCACAGACCTTGGTTTCCTCAGTCCAAATCTTTAAAAATCACTTTCAAGACCGCATCCTGAACCTTTCTTCTGAAGTCTTTTGGTTGGACAAGGCCCTGGGCAACCTGGTTGGGTGGGAGGTGTCCCAGCCCATGGCAGGGGGTTGGAACTGGGTGGGCTTTAAGGTCCCTTCCCACCAAACCGTTCTGTACGGTTCTGATACTCATTTATTCTTGAGTATCTCCAATATATCCTCTTGAGTAACATGAGTTCACCCTGACCGCATGCCCATGTCCATCACGTGAGCTCTCACTGGAGCAGCTCTGCTGATGAAGCTGAGCACGATCTCAGCTTTGTCCCACCTGTGAGAGGCAGCACGGGTACTCCTACAGGCAAGACCACGGGGAGCTGTCACAGCAACACTGAATAATGATGTTGAGTTTTCAGCAGAACATCCCCACGGCTGCTTCCTGCAGCCGCATCAGGCAATAGGAAGGCGTATTCCTTCCACACGTAGCACAAGACCTGAATTTGCAGCCACTCCTCATAGGAAGAGCTATTGTGGGAGTTCCAGTACCGTGTTTTCTCTGCCCCCGGGTTGTGTCACTACAGGTGGAAGAAGTACTCCCTGCACCCCCTGCACAGATACTGTTCAGATACATCTCCTTGTGGCTTTTTGCTCGTGCATTTTTCATAATGAACAATGCAATAAACACGGTGCGTTTGCAGTGTTAAATCATGTTCCCAAAGGGAGCAGTTTGTATAACAAGATAAAATTATCACATTATAATAACTAAATATGCATCACTCTAAAGCATGCTCCAATTAATCATCAAAAGTTTGCACCGCCTCTTTAGGTCTTAATTAAGCAGAATGTTTGGTTTGTTGCTTGTTTTTTTTTCCTTTCAAACCAGTGTGAGGGAGCTACAGAAAATTGTTCCTCTAAGACCAACAAGCAGCAGTTTAGATTAATCGATCTTATACGGAACCGTAATTCGGAGAGATGGGGAGAAGGGAAGGAAGGCAGCAAGCACAATAGAGCAAATCCATCATGTATAGCTCTGCCCCTTTATCTAGGCAAACCAGCGTGGCCTACAGTGCTTAGCAGGATGATCCTAAAATCCCTACAGTTCTGGAGTTAAACCCCAATCAGTTTACTAACTTGAAGGCTGCAACATTCTGCTAATGCTGTTTTGAACTCACTGATAGGCATTTGCAACTTTGGCTTCATGAATCCAGACAAAACTAAATGCAGTCACAGCTCTAATC